GGCTTGGGCAGGCTCCTGCCCGGTGACCAGCAGAGCCCAGAGCCCTGCCAGGGATGCAGGCAGGGCTGGAGGAGCAGCTGCTGTGATGGTTTGTGACAGCTCCTGTCTGTCCCCGGGCAGTGACACACTCCAGCGTGGAAGCAAATCCAGCAAACAGGGCTGGGAGAGCCAGGAGCCAGCGGAGCTCAGGGAACTCCTGTGCCCCCAGCAGCTCTGCTGATCTGTCTACGTTTTATTCAATATGTTTTCTCCTCTTAAAAGCAGAAAGCTGGAGGGACTGAGGCAATGGCCTTTGCAGAGACGTGGCAATAAAATGTCTGGGCTCATCCCTCCCAGCAGGGCAGTGCTGCTGCAGCCTGGATGGTGACAGCACAGCAGCTGCTGGGCTCAGCACTCACAGAGGTTTTCTGACCTGCTCACATGCACATTGCTCAGCTCCCCATCATCTGGGGCACCTGTTCTGGTGCCTGCAGGAGGCTGCCCTGGAACAGAGGCTGGACAGAGCTAGGAATAAAGTAGGGATTTATTGAAAGGCTTTAAAGGACACACCTTGGGCAGCACAAGAGCCTGGCCAGGGCCTCACCCAAGATGGACCAAAAATGGTCCCAAAATGCACAACTGGTCACGAGGTCTCACATTTTCATCAGTTTTGGTCCATCTGCATATCAGGGTTAATTGTCCAGTCACTGCTCCAGGTTATGGAGTCCCATCCTTGTTTTCTCTCTTCATTCCACCTTTGTTTCTGCTTTTGGGCCTGAAACTTGTAAGGGCTGTCCTTGGTATGGAGCTGGAAAAGGAATTGTTCTGTCTGCCTGCTCTGTGAAGAGAGCTCACTGACACTGAACATGAAGCTCAGAGCTTCACATCTGGGCAGCGTAGAATTTTCAGCATTAAATATCCTAAATAAAGCAATGGTGTCTGAGCTGGGAACGCATAAATGGGATGTAGGCTGGGGTTTTTGAATTGTTGTCACCAGTAGCTTGGTTTAGCTGTGCTGAGAGGTGCCCCTGGAGAGAGATCAGCAGCTCCAAGAGCTGGTGGCCTATTCTCCACACCTGGAAGAAGGTGTCTCTTTCCAGTCCTTGCTCCTTGGAGGTGCACTAAGCTGGTGAAAGTACTCTTAACACTGTGTTTGTGGGAAGCTGAATTCCCAGCAAAAGGAAATTCACCATGAAAAGTGTCTGATGCTGCCCAGGGGAAGTGCTGAGGCTCCTGCTGGAAACAGAGTGCCTCTGGAATCAAAAATTCCTGGTGCCCTGCCAAACCACACAGCCACAGAGTCCTGTGGAGGCTTGGTGAGAGGAAGCAGTGAGGAGATCCTCACACAACCCCAGAGCTGGGGTGGGCTCCAGCCCTGGTCAGAGCTGTGCTGTGCATGGCAGTGCCACAACAGCTGGGGGTTTATACAAGAACCTGTGAGGCTGAGGAGGGGCTTTGGGAGAGGAAAAATCACCTGAGAGCAGCACAGGGAGCTCTCCCCATCCCTGCAGGTTTGCAGGTGAATTCCATGGCTCTGGGTGGATGTGGGGAAATGTTGCATGCAGCACAAGCTGCCTTTGATGGTTCTTTTGCTAAGCCATCTGATCCACTGCTCTTCCTTGAGGTCATTTCTTCTCACTTCTTCCTTAGACACCACAGTGAGGCCTCCAGCTCCACTTAGAGGGCAGCAGGGCACATAGGGAGCACCCAAAAGACAAGAATCCCCTAAAAATTATTTGATATAACATGGCAGTCTGAAATATGTGAGGGATGAGTGACTGATTTCAGATGAGTGCTCCTCTCCTCTCCTCTCCTCTCCTCTCCTCTCCTCTCCTCTCCTCTCCTCCTGCCCTGAGGTGACTTTATCCCAGAGAACACCTTTGAATTTGGTAACCCGGGAGTTCTCCACCTTCCCAAGCTTTCCTGGGCACTGCTGCAGGAGCTGAGCATTTATATTGCTGTATAATAATATCACTGCTTTATATCCGAAGCCAACGTCTCCATCACAAGAGTTATTTCCCTCGATCAGCCACTGAATAGCGGTGCTGTTAAAGAGGTAATGAGAAGATAAATTGTGCAAGGCAGCTGACAGCAAGAGCATGAAATGATGTCTCTGAGGCTTGTTGTCCTCAGGGAAAGAGGTCTCGAATTTTTTGAATTTTTTGAATTTGATTTTTTTGAATTGCTGGTGAATTTGGACTTGAATTTTGAATTTGAATTGGAATTTTTGAATTGGTGGTGCTGATTGCAGCCTGGCTGCTGGGGGCAGTGCTGGGATCACCCTCCCAGAGTCATTTCTCAAGGAAGGCTGGAGGAAGTTCAGCAGGGACTGATGGATCTGAACACTTCCAGAGGTCCAAGGAAACTGAGCTCCCAGAGCTCTGCAGTGCCACAGCAGGGCAGGGTTGGTTAGAGAACAGCACTTCCCAATAATGCTGGCTCCTGATGGGCCGAGCCGTGTCCCTGCTGTCCCTGAACGCTGCAGGCTCCACTCCTTCCCCTACCAGAGCCTCAGCCAGCCAGAGGAACCACAGAGAGAGCTCAGGCAGAGCTGGCACCAGGAGCTCTGAGGTACTGATGTGTCTGTGCCCTGCATTCGCTGCCCCTGGTGCCCCTGAAGCAGG